TACTTATAGTAGAATATACCCCAAAGCAATACTCTAATTATTAAGGCTCCTATATTAGCTGCTAGCACCTGGTTACAAAATCCGAACACCACGCTGACAGAGATCCCGCTTTCTGCCGAGGAGTTTGGCAAAGTCCGTGCCTTGGCAGAAAGCCATGTCATCTATCATCAAAATAGCACGAAGAAGCTTTCTGCTCCCATAAAACCTTAAACCCAAAGCCCATAAACCCTAAACCCTAAACCCCGAAATCCTTAAACCCTAAGCCCATAAACCCTAAACCCCAAAATCCGAAACCCTAAACCCTAAGCCCATAAACCCTAAACCCCAAAATCCGAAACCCTAAACCCCGAACTTGGAGCAGAACCCTGAACCCCAACATGCCTGAACCCCCCAAAACCCTAAACCTTAAACCCAAAAACCCTAAACCCTAAACCCTAAACCCTAAAACCCTAGACGCAAAACCCCCAAAAGGCAAGCGCGCTGGGCTGAAAGCCTTGAAGAGCCACCTGGCGATTATCCGGTTGGACTTTCACCTTTTAGGGCTTTTGGTTTAGTTTAGGGCTTTTGGTTTAGTTTAGGGTGGTTTAGTTTAGGGCTTTCGGTTTACGTTAGGGCTTTCGGTTTAGTTTAGGGCTTTTGATTTAGTTTAGGGCTTTTGGTTTAGTTTAGGGTGGTTTAGTTTAGGGCTTTCGGTTTACTTTAGGGCTTTCGGTTTAGTTTAGGGCTTTTGGTTTAGTTTAGGGCTTTTGGTCTAGTTTAGGGCTTTTGGTTTAGTTTAGGGCTTTTGGTTTAGTTTAGGGTGGTTTAGTTTAGGGCTTTCGGTTTACTTTAGGGCTTTCGGTTTAGTTTAGGGCTTTTGGTTCAGTTTAGGGCGTTTGGATTCAATTATGGAGCCGAAAAGTTTTGCTTGTTTGCGAGAGAACATGTGGAGGCGGAAGCTTTTGCTTGTGCAATCCCTGTCGCTTTAAGCTCTCAAGCCCTACAACCCTCAAACCCCGCCCGACAACCCTGAAGTCTGAAATCCCTCAATCCCGAAGCCCTCAAACCCGAAGCCCTCAAACCCTGAAGCCCGAAACCCTCGAACCGTCAAGCCCTAAGACCCGCAAGCCTTAACGCCTGCAAACTCTAAGCCCTCAAGCCCTAAACCCTCAAACCCTAATCCAAACCCCAAACCCTAAACCCTCAAACCCCAAACCTTCTAAGTCCCCATAGGCCCTATAGTAGTCCCTTTTGCTGGTTCATACTTAGAATCCTATAAGGTACTCCCAAAAAGGAACTAATATGGGACCTATGGTCCACAGCA